ATGAAGGTAAACTGCTGATTCTGGTCCTGTGTTGTTGCTCCTCCTGTGCTGGGCCATCCTCCTGTGGAAAGGCTGTTTGGTTTCTCCATTGTAGAGCTCTGAACACTCCTCACTTCACTGGATTGCATATTTGCAATATGCAATATATTGCATGTGTGTTCATCAGTCCCCAGGAAGATTAAGACCACTTCACAAGATCACCAGGGAGGAGTAAGACATTCACATCCCAAAGACTCTACTACTCTCTCTCCTATTGTCCCTTCAATGAGTCTATCATGTCAGTGAGGAACGCAGCCACTCTGGAAGACATTTATGGGGTCCCCCCAACCAACTTTCTAGACTGAAGAAGCTGCTTGGACAAGCAGTGAAACGTATCAAACCAAAAGAAAAGTCCAGTTGCCATGACTCAACCTCCAGATAATCCAGTTCATGCCTTGTACCTTTCTCTCTTCCCAGATGTACATTCTAATACAAGACATCTGGAGAACCAGTTGGTGAAAACTGTCCTGGAATGTAAATAGAGCCTGTTAAGTGGGCCGTATGCCCTTCTCCTTCAACATCCTGTGTCACTGCAGGTTCAACCAGATGCTTTTGAGAAGCTCAAAAGCAGGGCTGCAAATCAGGCGTATTTCTCTCTTGCCCTCAGAGTTGGCTTGTGGAAGTATATGTCCTCCCTGTGTTAGAGGTTCCATTTTATTTATTTATTTAATAAAATTATGGGCTGCCCATCTCATTTTGTTCTTCTAGATCTTTCATCCTGCAATAGTTTGTCCCCTTCCCTTTTAAAGCAAAGTCATGTTTTGCTGTATATCAGGTGTATCATCTGCTGATGAATCCCATAAGTTGTACATCTAAAGGCTTTGCAGTACCACCATGTAAGGTTTGAAAAAGAAAGGGTATGGGAAAACATAAATGTCGTCATTAGTTACTCTAAAAAATGGACATCAAAGTTTAAGATTATTGTGCACATTTATTTATTCAATCCCAGATAGAAAGCTTGTACATAATCACCTGGAAGAAAATGTGATTGATCATTTCCAGGTCTTTCCTATGCTGGGTTCTAACAATATGCTTAACTAAATTAGTGCAAAACCCAGCCTTTCCATTCATACAGCTGACCTTCTTTAGCTTTTACATTTTTGTGGTTTAGCATGTTGAGCATTTCCTGCTGATTTGGTGAGCTAAGATCAATGTGTTGTATCACCCCAGAAAATTAGTAGCCAAGTTCAACATGTTTTGTGATCTGAAGGCAGCCTTGGGCTTGTCATCATAAAGTGGATATCTTCAGTTGACTCTTTATTCTGCATCGACTTGCAGACAGATAATTTTACAAACTTTGGTCCTGTTTGGTCCTTCTCATCCGTCCATTGTTGCCCCCCAACCCATTTAATTCTTCCCACCCAATTGATGCCCAATTCTGTCTGTTCATGATGTTCTCTCCACACCATTACATTGCTGCTCGTAGAAACCCTGAATCAACCATATTGTGTGCTTAGAACAAATAGTCACTGTTTTGTCATTTTAGTTATGTTGTGTGATTTTGTCTTGCTAGCCATTGGATGGATGAGGGATCAGAGCCCCCTGCCCAATTGTAAAACTTGCCCACAAGTTCTTGGGCTTATATCTGGAGTCTTGTTTCAGAAATATGGTACAATAAAAGCCAGTGTCCCAAAGGCTGAACTCTAGACTTTTTCATGTTCCTGTTATGCAGAACATAACACGTTATGGGCTGGGTTCCCACCATAACGTAGGCCATAACGTGGTTTGCTTGTGTTAAATTCTCATTTGTAAACTGTAGTGCTGGATGCCACTTTTAAAACTCTGCGTGGTTCAGGAACTAGGTGTCTGCAGGTCCACCTGCTCCCATTGGGTTCTGCCTGTCCAGGAAGATCTAGAAGGGGAGGCACCTTCTGGAATCTGTCTTTGAGGGATTGGTGTCATCAGGGCCCACAAGGGTGTGTCTTTTCTGTAGCTGCATTTGCTCTTTGGAATAATGCTCCACCCAAGGTCAGGTCAGCACCAACCTGTTGGCATTCAGGAAAGCCATCAACTCCTGGCTGTTCCAGAAAACCTTGGGGATTGATTGATTGATTGATTGATTGATTGATTGATTGATTGGTCCCCTCCCTTGCAGTAGGCAGTTGTTGGTGTGATGGATTTGGGAGGTTGGAGATATTCCTCTTTTCATTCTCTCTTTTCTTTTGTATTATTACAAACCACTTAGAGCCTTTTTTGGAAACGAGCAGCATGTAATTTGCATAAATAATAAATGATAAACTAAACAAATAAGTTAGGCTTGCACTACATGCTAAGCCACAAAAAAAGTAACCAGGTATAATACTCACCAGGCTAATGATGTGAGGGCAGACATTAGATCTTCTCCTGTCTTAGAAGCCCATGTAGAATTTTCTCTTCTGGGCCCATCTGGCTTTTCCACCGAACTTAGGATGAAGATGGCTGGCTTGGAAACAAAGCACGTACCTACCCCTGTTGTATTTAGAAAACTAAAGGCTTAATTAGTGACAAATAAAGGTTTGAAAGCCAGTGGAAATGTTAGGACATACAAAATCCCTGAGGCCTCCCTCCATAATGAAATTTTGTCCAAGCCTTTGGTGAATAAAAGGTCTTCTCTGGGCCTGAACGTGGAAGGACATCCAGTTTTGGAGTGTCCCAGATCCTGTCTCTGGCAGCCCCTTGTCTAGCCAGCATCTGGAGCTAGGCAGGGTCTGCCTCGCCTTCAGGAGGGGAACCCAAGGAGGAAGGTATCTGACCAAAAAAAGAATCCAGTGCATTCCCCTCTCACATGTTCCTACTTGTCTCAGCAGGCAGCAAAAAGCATCAGAGACAGAAGAGGGTACAGTTCAAATCCAAGAAGGTGAGCATTCTCCAGCCCCTGTTCTTCTCTTCCTACCTGTTGAAGGGGGCTTCCTTCAAGTCAGGCTCAGTTCCAGGAACCCCATGGATTTGTCCCGGCAATGTTCTTGGCAACGTTATGGATGTGGTTTGCCGTTGCCTTCTTTCAGAATGTGTTTCAGCTTCTCAGTTGAGAAGTTCTGAGATTTCCTCCAGCTTGTTGAGATCCACCCGATGTTCTCTTTGATGGTAGGGATAGAGCGCCACTCCTCCTTCAGTCCTTGGAAACAGGAGGGGAGAAAAGTGGCTATTTCGGCCCTGCTTAAGGCGCCACCTCTGTGGGGCCTCTTGTTTTCTTCTTTCCTGAAGGGGCAGTAGCGACAGGTGAAGATCCAACCAGTGTGGCCATTGCTAGCATCCAGTCAGCTGCCACTTTTCCAGACCCCAACATCAAATATGTCTTCCGGGCAGAGAATGGAGGTGCTCAGGTAAGATGCTGTGGGCTTCTGCTAGCACTTTGCTTGCGTTTCACTCAACAAGTGTCTGAACCAATGTTTCTCAATGTTGGCAACTTCAAGATGTGTGGACTTCAGCTTCCAGAATTTCCCAGCCAGCCATGAGAAACGCTGAGAAACACTGGTCTAAACAGTACAGGGTTCTCTGTGCTGCTGGCTCCCTGTACTAACGTATTTTGCTAAAGTGGAGCCCGGTTGAGCAAGCAATGGCAACCAGAGAATTTGGCTAGGGTCTTTCTGCTCGCTCGCATTGTTCCTGCCTGCAAGCTCGGTCTTTGCCCTTGTGGACATTAGCTGCCTGTTCCCATGGCATCCCCAAACCGCAGCCTGGAAAAGAAAATCAGAAAAAAATAACTTCCAGGGTCTCTGCTTGCTGTACAGTATTCATTTCCAAAACAGATTGGAGGTCCTTGTTTGTGTTACAAACACTTCATTGGAGTCTATTATAATTTTCCCATCTGTTCAAGATGTCATGAATGTTATGACTTCCCCGCATATTCTATCCTCACAATTATTCTGATTTTGTATTGTTTAAGTGGAAAAAATCCAAAAGAAAAATACAGAAAAAAAGCAAATGAATTAATTACATTTACATTCACATATGTAATCGTAAGGAGAAATGTTAAAAGTGTGTATAAGGGGGTTGCAGCAAAAATGTACAAGCTTATCCCATTAAATCCATGAGTTGGTCCAGTTTAAGTTTTTAAACATTTTAATTGTTGGCTAATGTTTTGTTTTTATATTTATCTTTTTATATTACACCTGCAGAATATGTTTATACAGTGTGCTGCAATACTAAAATGAGAAAAAAAGAAATACTGCCTGGAAACTTATATCGGAACCAAAACAACTAAAAATAGGTCAAACTATTCAAATGTTGCCTTCCTTCCACCTTTGTAGAAAAAAAGCCTAATTCATATGTTGATCACCAGCAAATCAGCACTCCTCTGCTGCAGATCATGTGTAGATTTATCCTTCCAGTGATATATAATTATTTTGGCCACCCCCATGTTTTGATAGAGTTCCAAATATTGGCTGTGTAGACAAGAAGAATACATGCAATGTTGACATGCAGTAATCAATCTAAATTAACAGTCTTGTGAATTTCAGTCTGTGTCAGTAATAGGATTAGCCGAGTTAATATTCCAGTTCTAGAATATTCCAGGATGCTTGCAACCTGCTGTTAAACAATCTCTGAAAACTTAATTTTCTCATTTTAAAATTAACTGCAAGAGCAGGACATTAAAATATTTTTAAAGTCCCACATGGCATGGAACCAGGTTACCTAAGGGACCGCATCTTCCCCGTGACTTCAACCTGTCCCACTTGATCACACAGAGAGGGCATGCTTTGGACCCCCTCAGTAAAAGAACTCCGATTAGCGGGGTCCAGAAGACAGGCCTTCTCTGCAGTGGCCCCCGCTCTCTGGAATATTCTGCCCCCAAAGGTGAGATTGGCCCCCTCACTCCTGGCCTTCCGAAGGGCTTTGAAGACCTAGTTCTGCCACGTGGCCTGGGGTGGGGAAGGAATACTTCAAGCGTGAGGATGGCTGGCCCCATAGAGGCCTGCTGTCTTCAGCCCCAGATCCTTCATCTTCTTGGACTCTCTTTCTCTTTTTTAATAATGTTTTTAAAATTTTTATGTTTTAC